AGGCTGAAAAAAGGTAAATAACAATCTCCAACTCAAAAAACGAACGAATCAGAAAAAAATTGAAACAGGCACCTTCAATTTGGTTTTGGAATAAAATCTTATGGGAATCTATGATGTGCTTTATCTTAAACTTGATCACAAAGGAAGGATGCGCTTAAGTGTCAGTATCTATGAGCAGAATGACAATGAGATTGTCAGACCTCGAAAACCCCCAACAATGGCTTCTTTGAGTAAGTCTTTTGTTTTCTGTTTTATGAAACAGAGGAGATCGAGAAGAAGGCTAATACTGTACTTTTGATAATGGAAACAGGTCTGAGTAGGAAAGAACAAGCGGAGAACAGCTACCACGATGTGAAGAAGGAAGAGGAAAGATGTGAATCTATGGGAGAACTTGATCTTAGAGTAAGAAACATTTATGAAAAGCACTTTGCTTCTCGCCTCGATGGTCGAAAGTGGCACGAGTATACCTATATTGATCGGTGACAATGTCACTTTTAAGCTCATCGATCCAACTGAGTTTATTTGTGTCGTCTCTAAGAAAACTATTTTTTTAATTTTAAAATATTTGGCCTATTGTTTAAATTTCTTTATAAGATTTGGCCTATTTAAAGTAAAGACTAAAAACTCAAAGTTGTTGTAAATACAATTTATCATTTTGGGCATTCGTTACTAGATTTCTTTTTAGTGATAGTGACTTTAAAATCGAATTTAATAAATGTTAAAGTGATCAGAGTTCTTGTAAAAAGCAAAAATATAGATCTCAAAAATATATGGTACCAATTAAAATCATTTAAGAGTGTTTGATAAAAGTTTTTTATAATATTAATTGAGTTAATGTTTGAAAGATATTTTAATAGATTTAGCTTATAAATATAAAGAAAAAAAGAGTAAAGACCTAAAAAACAAGGTTGTTGTAAATACAATTTATCGTATGATGCATTAGTTACTAGATTTTGTTGTTAGTAATAGTGACTTTAAAGTTGAAATTAATAAATATTAATAATAATGAGAGTTTTTGTA